ACAAACTCTACGTGACAACTCAAATGACACCTCTTCATAAGCAAATTCCTCAAACAACGGTAGAACTTGTGAGTGAATTTCGTACCTGTCTTCCATTTTGATTCCCAATATTTCCACCATAGTTGTGGCAACCACATCATTCCGGCTTCCTCCATCTATAATAATGTTGCAAACTGGATTTTCATCATATTGTTCTCCATTAGATTTACAACCAGTAGCGGAGCCAGCAAAAGTATTTATAGTCTGTGGCAAAAAAAATTATCCCATGTCAAACAGTAATTTATATCCATTTTAGATGCTGCAGCCTAGTTACAGTTATTTACCCATGTCTAAAACATGATTAATTTTTGAAAATTAGCCAATGGCAAGACACTGGCTGAAGCCAACGTGGCTCCGCATGTTTACCAAAAACTAGACTAATATTATAATCTCTTTCTCTATTAGAGTCGTCATAGACAGGACTACTTCATAGATTTTGAATCCATGAATCTCACACTTCATTATAATATTTTGAAAAGTGAATTAATTTTCAAATCATACTCTAAATTTTCCCTTGGTTTAAAATCCTCAAAGTATTGATGTCTCTGTTTTCATCTGATGTGTCATTCAATTCTACTCCTAAAGGAACTCCATTACATTTGCACAAGTTGTTCTTTCAAACCTTAGACAAATTGCCTTATATGCACGTACGCAAGATTGTTGCTCCAAATTTTGAATTTGTCTTTTTACTAGTATAATAAAATTATGAAAAAATTATTTGTCATTTTAAAGGATATAAGTTTATGTCATTTCACCTTCATATAACTATGTATTCCTGGGAAATATATAGTTATAATATTAATTTTTTTTTTCTCTTCAGAAACTTGTCAGTTGACGTTGAGAAAGAGAAAAAAGCAACTTTCATATTATATCTATGTACTCGAGGAGTACATATAGTTATAAGGGGTGAAAGAACATAAGCTTATATCTTTTAAAAGGACACACTCTAAACCCTAAAATTATTGTTGAAAATAAAGTTTAACCTTCTAGATTAACGGTTCATTATCAATATTAACATAATATCATCATAAGTTTTTATTGAATCTTTTAATATAAGGATGATATAAAGTTCAATCGTACTACGTAATTTTTTTTATAATAATTTTTTTTAAAATTTAAGTAAATCCTTCTAAACAACAGTACCAAAAAAAAAAAATGAACAGTAAGTGTTATATCTTTTGTATTCAATCCTATTTGATCGATTCTATTACTTCGGACTCATTAGGAATAACTGTTTGAATATTATTTTCTATATTTTTACACATTTACACTGCTATAAATTTGACCAATTAGTAGTCCCACGACGTTAATGAAACGAGAGATCTTGAATTGTGAAACGGCTTAAAGCCCTAGGTCACCCCAAGATAATATACACAAACTAGCATCAAAATTCAGAGGTTCAGTATCCCTGCTTTAATTAACAACTTTCCTTTTTTTTTTTTGTAAAATCAAGAGCACATTTTGAACCAACCAGATTGACGAGTGGTTTTAGTTCAAACTAATAAATTTGAACGTTAATTTGTATGAACTTTTTTTTTTGTTACCAAAAAAACTTATTTTTTAAAGTAATGCAAATTATAGAAAGTCGTGAGTCTTAATTATGCCTTTGTAGTTTTTTATTGCTTCTTTATAAAATCATTAACATCACAATTCACAACTAAAATACATGTCTAATTGTTTGATTAAAATTTCTTTAATATTAGTTAATTTATAAAGACTTAAAATTTCTTCCGCTATAAAAAATAAAGTTATCTCCTGTACATTATCCCAAAACGACAATGTTGACAGAAAAAAATTATAATCATAAAGATTAATATAACTCTAGAATGTATTAAAATTATAAAAATATATTTTTTCCAATATCAAAACAACTTCATTTTGAAGTTATAAGAGATAAGTTATATCTTGTGACACAAAAACATTAAACCCTACTTATAAAGTGCATAATCTAGAGTATATTTACCATTTGTTCAATTTAAAGTTCATTGTATTGTTATAGCACTAGATTCAATTCTAAATTTACCCTTATGCATTTTACAAATAAATTTATTTTTAAATTTGTTTTATATTATATTTATTAAGTCGTTAGCTTGACATACGATTTAAATAAATTTATTTTAGAATTGTTTTAGTTAGCTCCTAATGTTGTGGTCTGGGGCCTACCACAATTTTTTATAGTTTGTATTATTTTGTAAAATAAATTTAAAATTACATTAAATTGGTAATATTAGAATGTAGAATTGGTTAAAAAAGCCAGGAGCAACCTTGCCGTTGATCAAGACAGCAAGAAACCCTACATAGCTGAAAAAGAGAAAACAAGCACACAAGAAAGCAAGCCAGTACCAAAACTTATACTCTAAAAAGTCATAGGTTAGTTGTTGTTTACATTGTTGTACTTGTAACAACCCTTGATATATATATGCTTTCATTTTCATTCTACACATAGTTAGGAACTCTCAGATTATATACCATGCCCTCCATGAAGAAGATGACATTGAAGTATATAAAATCCCAAATAGACATAATCCTGTCAAAACGAAGAAGCTCAAATTAAACTACATATTGAACATTCTGCTGAGAATGTTTATGATCATGAATGTCATCGCATGATCAGTTTCTGTTTCCCTGAAATCAGTTTTCTTAGATTAGGTTCAAGAACACATTAATCCATTGAACCAATTATTTCAGTTACTTGTCAACAAATTTCTATATTGTCAACCGCTAAACAACTTGGTTAGTTAACCCTGTAATTTGTTATTTCACACAATTAAAGCCGCAGAATAGAGACCAGATTCAAAACTCAACAGGAAAAAAATTCTCTGGTAACAATATTGAACATTTGAACAAATGTAACACCAGTTTGTAGAGGAAGGTCTAGAATCAAAATTACACAGGATTTAATTTCAACCACCTGGGCACATAGCTTAAGTGATTGTGATGAGTATGGAATTGAGATAGATACCATAAGTTCAAGTCATGGTGACAGAAGATATTACAGCTAAGAAAACTGTAAAGATCAGTTCATCAATTCATTAGACTTCTTAGAAATTATGTTGGCAATAATATTAAATGGACATACCCCAATCAGAAAATCACTAATCTGCTTATGAAAGGTCCTTTTCTTGTAAAATAAAAGCTAATATAAAAAAGAGGCATAAAAAGAAAAAGGAAAATAGGAACTGTATGGAATTGAAGTGAACAGCTGTTGCATTATACTGTATACATAGAAGTGAATGCTCTAAGTGCATGAATTCCGAAGCCCTAAACATCCATTTTGTTCTTGTTCAGAAACTTGCATATATAGGTAACTATATATGGAATGTGATAAGTTGGTTCGCAACTTAATTTCTCTCTGGGAGAAAGAGCTCTGAAAATATATAGAGGTAAGATTCTTTGATACCAGTGTCAAATTTGAAATTTGACACCTCATCTGAGTGCTGTTAGATCAAAAAATCTCAACGACTCTGATTTGTAAGCATGTGACACCATCAATCTTTTTTGATCTAATGGCTATCAGATGAGGTGTCAAATTTCAAATTTGACACTGGTGTCAAATGATCCTACCTCATATATATATATATGGGGAGGGATCATTTGACTCTAGAGTAAGATTTAAAAGTCTTACTCTTCATCCCAGCCCTTGATTTCCGTTCATCCAACGGTTATCATTTAGTAATTTAATGCATTAATTAATTATTAATTTCAAATAAATGATAACCGTTGGATGAACGGAAATCAATGGCTGGGATGAGGAGTAAGACTTTTAAATCTTACTCTGGAGTCAAATGATCCCTCCCCTATATATATATATATGTATTTGGACAAATCATAGGTATTATCCATGGAAGACAATCTTGTTGGAATCGGGAACACATACATCATAATGATGCTAGCTCTTTGAATTTTTTGCATTTGCAAGGACTTGAACTCAAGACCTTGTTTAAGCGGAATCAAGCATATATCACTGGAACCAACTTCTTTTGGCAACTGACACACACATATAACCAAGCTTCAAAGCTTAGATCTAGGTGTAGCACTAAATCACAAAGTAATGGATAATATCACCAATACACTCTTCTCCCTTTGGCTTTCTAGAAACATAGACATAGCTGCCCATTCTCTCTCACAATAGGAAAACATCTTGGTAGTCGAACGGATTGTAGCAATTTATCTATGACATCTGAAAAGAGATGCAGACTCTTCGCTTTGAAGAAAATAACTTGCCAAGGAAATAATATGGTTACAATTAATCATTTATAATCATCAGAAAGCTGAAATTTCAAATGGATATTTAATTAACAGACTCAAAGGAATCAATGCTGGGCATGTTAATATTGGTACATAATAATAGAAACTCCTGTGTGCGTTACCCATGGCCATGATATTATATTAAGATTTAAGAGTTAAGATTTTTAATAGTTAATATTCTTCAATCTATCTTTGTATTAAAAAAATTAACATATTACACATCGATCAATCCATCTATTATAATTTAGAATGCTTATGATATAAAATTTAGTTCGGAGAAACTAGAGTATATGAAGCTTTCAATTCGAAAGTACTACCGAGAAACAAAAATTAATTTCTGTTGGAAGCAAAACAAACCACCCAGTGATATTCTTTGTATGATTGATCCAGAGCTTTTGTGAAATACGTGGTTAACTTCTATTCTTCCGTGCTTGAATTCTTAGGGCTGAAATAATGTGAATCATCAAATGCCCCACATCTATAAGCTTTACTGCAAACAACAGCTGAAATTTTTAGTTTCCTCCTGATTCTTGTTTTCCTAGCTCTTGCACCAAAAGTACATCACTGCTTTCACCATTGAAGACTGATATCACAATTATATAAATAAAATACTAAAAGCTGCTAAGGAGTGGCTGTAGTACTTGATACTAGTTCAATCAAACTTTAAATGTTGGACAGAAAATAATAGACGCAGAACGCAGCAAACTTTTAACTTTGATATGCCATTGGCTGATTATCAGCAAGAATCAGTACAAACATTGTAAAATGGGAATATAGGGCAGAAAAAGTTACTGATAGAGAACACAGAAAGATGCGATGATTACTAGGAAAAGCACTTGAGGATTCATTCTGATCAGATATTACCGAAAACTAGCAAACGAGTTTGGACTGTGATTGTTGCACTCCTCCCTAGAATTTCCAAAGATTTCAAGCTCTACAAATCAGGACCCAGATTACTAAATATTATTAAAAAGATTAAAATCTCAAGTGATTATTGAGAAGATTGCTTACCACTGGTTCATGAAACATGTAGACAGATTCATGGTGGCTATTCCACAAAAGTTGGAGCGTCCATTAATGGCCACATTATTATCCCAATTTGAAGTCGAATAGGGCAATAAGTGGTAGTCATTAATGTTGTTAAAACTTGCTTCCTTAGGGATCACAAGGTTTTGGTGATGATGAGAAGACATCAAAGATGGCTTCATATTTCTTTTTATCATAATAGATTCCTCAATAACGTTAAAGCCATCTCTTGGTGCTTCACTGTCAAGTAGGTAAGGGTAAGGTTGAACCATTTGAGGCCATCTTGCACAAGCCTCAGGTTCAGGCTGAATGGATGACCTCAATTGGTGCAGTATTTGATGAGTATTTGCAGTTGCAGGGCACCTATCGTCCAAGTCTTGCACCTTCCCAGTGTTGCACATCTTGTAACAAGTCCTTTCTCTTGCTCTTGCCCTTGCCCTTTCCCTTGACTCCTTTTTTGTCTGAACACAAGCTTCTTCCCTCTGTGTCCATTTCAACTTCCTCCCTTTATTTGAAGCATCAACACCAACCAATGATTTGTCATTTGAATCCACACCGTGTGGCTCAGCAGGTTCACAGGAGCACTTGTCACCCCCACTGCAGCTGCTATGCTTACTTCGAGCTAGTTCTTTGATTGCATTCTCAGATTTTGTGAAGAGCCACTCAAGGGTATTACTAGGTTTGTCAAACTCTAGCATGTCCTGAAGATCAAAGAACTTGCGAGCTATTTCGCTAGACAATCTCACCCTTCGGTCCCTCAAACCCTGAGATGTGTGAATCTTACTGTGCCTATCTTTCCTGGCTATGGTTGGTTTCTGGGTGAGAAAATTGGGAATACTACCATAGTGGACACCATAGCCATTATTATTTGCATTCTGTTCAAGCATGGCAGTGCAGTCTGCAACAGCCAAATTGGCAAGAGTTTCATCTGGGAATGGAGCATCATTTGTATTGGGTATGAAGGGAACAAGTGATTCATCAAGAAGGGTGTTACTTGCAAAACCATTTTCAGGGTCAATAAGATAAGGAAGGGTAGGGTAAGAAGATGAGGGAAAGCTAGGAAAAGGGTTAGAGTCATATGTGGAAGAGAACATCTGCAAATTAGAACCAATTTCAGTGGGAAAACCCTAGTTTTTGGGCAAAGAGTAAAAGATCACAGTTACAACACAGAGGTAGCTTCTCTGCTCCCACTTAACGGTCCAAGTACAGTCCTACTCTTCTTATATAATCATTTTCTGAGATTCCCATCTCTATCAATCTTTGAAAAGAGACTAGCTACTAAGTACTATGTACTATCACGATCATTAAAGAGTTAATTTTTTTTTTCTTGAACAAAAAAAAAAAATGTGCTGTTGAGGAAAGTGAGGAAAACAAAAAGGGAGATTTAGATTAGGACAATGAGGTACTTTGAGCATAGCTTCCATTATTTTGTAAATACAACTATATTGTTACCAATCTGAGTTGGGGCACAGGGAGAAAATATAACTTAAGTATCACGACAGTACATCGATCAATAGGACACAAATAATTTTTTGGTTTGCGCCATATTCATATTACATATTACATATTCAGAGCCAACAGATTCTGTTAGAATGTATACAAAAATTAAATGACCTTGACATAAGTTTAAAAACAAATTCAACACTACATAAAAGAATACCAAAGGACATGTGAGTTATATATATAAAAAAAGAAGAAGATTATTGGTGTATAGAGAAAAAAAAAAGTGCTTACGTAGTGAAAGTGTTTGGATTTAGCTTTTTAAATTAGAGAGTGGTTATTAAATTTCTTAATGAAAACCAGTAATCAGAAAGTGAAGTTATACAGTATAAAAAGTGAATGGATCTGGCTTTTGATGGTTTTTATCCGAAAGGTAATGAACTTTGTGAATTTTAAGCCGTACATGGAGTGTAGAAGTTAGGTGAGAGGCTGTAATAGCTGCTTACCTGTTTCTTTAGTATAAACTCAAGAGCAAATATACCAACTCGTCAGAAAAATTGCATTTTCATTTTCTGAAAGGCTGAAAATAGTACAAATTGGAAACTACAAACTTCAAACACGGTGTTCTTTTTGAATGCGCCCACATAGCTTCATTTCAATCCCGATAAAAGCTCATTCATCTCTGACATAGTTTGCAACTTCAGTGGGATACTTTCTCTATGTACTTCTTACTGTATATATAGACATATAGTAGATGAATACATACGTTCTTAAAAGTGTGATTTTTAGCTATTTAGATATGGCAAAAAAATTTCTCATTAAAGATTTAAAGGTCTCTTCTTCTGTGACTCACAATTTATTTTCCTTGCCTCATATTGTAGTAAAGGTCTTTTTCCTGTCCCTCACAATTTGTTTTCCATGCCAATTAGTTTTTGTTACAGGTGGGCTCCATCACAAGTTACCTTTTGCAAAAACTTTCAAACTTCTCGTGCAACAGAAAAAAAATTGAGAGCCCTAAGCCCTTTAGATATTGTAATTTTATTTTCATACACCACTTCGATTTCATAAAAATTGATCTAATAACCAAGAGTAGTGTGAATTAATTGATCTAGTAATCTTGTATAAAATTTTAATATGAAAAAAAACCATGTAAATAAAAAAATACTATGCAAACAATATGTTACTACAAACAATAATTCAGTACTATTGATATATGTGATCTAGTTTATCAATTTAAGAATAAAAATTAAAAGCAAATTGTTAACTACAATAACTAAAATGGGATATGTTCTTTCTACACCACTGTAAGACTAACAAATCTTACACCACATCTCAACCGTTGATGGACGGAAATCATCGGTTGGTATTTGTAGTGTAATTAATGATTAATTAATATTAATTAATTCGTATGACTTCCTAAACTATAATCGTTGCATGCACGAAAATCAACGGTTCAGATGTAATGTAAGACTTATTAGTCTTACACCGGTGTAATATGATCCTGATCCAACTAAAATTATTCTACCGAGAATATATAATGCGTCTTTTTATATGCGCAAGTACGCCCGTAAAATTTAGTGTATCAAAGATGGATTGATATATATTTTATGCATGGTGGTGGGAGGAGCTTTTGCATAAAAAGGCTTTGCCATTGTTTTTTTTTTTTTTTCCACACATGAAAACATGTGAAATTGCTGTGTTGTAGATTCAAGGGCACACAGCCTATAATAACCGCATATTTTGTATTTTTGGCTGGTTGAAAATGAGAGTACAAAAGATCGGTTGCCATGTTCTCTAATTTTCATTCCCTTTAATATTCCCCCTAATAACTACTTGCTGGTTTCATACTTGAGAGAAGATTGTTGGATTAATTAAATGTGATGAGTCCACATTAATTGGTAATATAGGCTAAGTGAAGAGTATATAAGTGGGAGGACCGTACCCATAAACCCAGCAATGCCTTAAGATTTTGGATTGTGACATAATATCGAACACACTTGATATGGTTAGGCTAACTTAGTTGATTGATAATGATCCCCACCATGAGCTCATTATATTTTGTTGTGAAGAGCTTAGGTATGTGGTATCTCAATGTAATAATGCTCTTAATTGTAGTGGTATAGATTAAACATTTAGGGAAAAGTTATGGTGGTTGAGAAAGGGGAATAATGTAATGACACGATGACTCTAGAATTTTACGGAATAACAACTCATAAAATAATGAATATAATATGTCTCATCAATGGCTGAAGTGGTGATATTTATAGATGGGAAAATATTTTCTTTACCTCTACTTTTTTCCTTTCTCCTTCCCTTTTATCTCACTTTCTTCCCTCTTTCTTTGTCTTTTCTTATTAATTTATTATTTTCTTCTTTTCTTTATTTTTATCTCTTTATCTCTTGATTTTTTTTCTCTTATGTTATTTTCTTTCTTATGTATCTTTATTTTCACTTTATTTTATCTTTCTTCTGAATTGTTTATTGCTATGTTTTCGCTTCTAATGATATTTATAGTTCTTTGAATTTTATTATTATCATTTTTTCCGTATTTTACATTTGGGTTCATATACTGTTGATTCCAACTAATGTTGTTGATGATATAGAGTCATTATTGTTTTGCCTTCTAATCATCATATAGAGTCATAATTTTTTTGCTAGTGGTACCCACTATTGTGTGTGAGGGAAACGCACCTGCACGTGTGTTAAGGTGAACTCATATGCAGGGAATAAGAAATCATCCACTGATGGTAGGGTTGTGCGTGGGTCAGATCGGGTCAGATTTTTGTCTGACTCGACCCAACTTGGTTTTTATAAGTCAGGTATTTTGATCTGACCTGCTTTAATTTGATCCAAGTCAGGTCTGACTTGGTTTGGATTTTGTTGAACTAGTTCAGAACTGGATCGGATCTGACCTGACTTGGTTTTTGAAGTGGATCAAATCTGACCTGACCCGTTTTTGACTTGGTTTCCTCACAAAAATTTGTCAAAATTTCTACATTGCAAATGACGAGAATTTCATCACAAAATTATTTTTTCGTCGGAATACTTTTTGTCGAAAAGCAACGAAATTTTTTCTCTAATGAAAATTTTTACAAAAATAAATTGTCTATCGAAATTTAATTTCCGGCAAAAGTTTTGACGAAAATGATTTCTTCCATCAAATGTTTTAAACGGAAAAAAAATTCTATCAAAAATTTTGACTGGATTTTTTCGTTCAAAATTTCGATGGGAATGTGTTCTGACGAAAATTTCAACGGAAATTGTTTCGAAAAAAATGTTTCATTCGAAAATTTCGACGAAATTTAGATTCTCTAAAGAATTTTGACAGAATATTTTTTCCGTCAAAATTTTTTATCGAAATTTTTTTTTACAGTAATGTGTTCCGTAGAAATTTTTTATGGAAATATTTTTTATCAAAAAACTTGACGAAAAATATTTAGTAGAAAATTTTCGATGGAAATGTGTTTCGCTAAAAATTTCGACGAAATTTTTTTTTTTGTCAAAAAATTTAACGAAAATTTTTTCGCTGAAATTTGAAATCTGTAAAGAATTTTGATGAAATTTTTTTCCGACAAATTTTTTTTTATGGAAATTGTTTTTAGGGAGATGTTTCATTCGAAACTTTCGACGAAATTTAGATTCTCTAAAGAATTTTGACAGAATATTGTTTCCGTCAAAATTTTTATCGAAATATTTTTTGTCAAAAAATTTTACGAAATTATTTTACAGAAATGTGTTCCGTTGAAAATTTTGATGGAAATATTTTTTATCATAAAACTTGACAAAATATTTAGTCGAAAATTTTCGATAGACATGTGTTTCGCTAAAATTTTCGACAAAATTTTTTTTTTGTCAAAAAGTTTAAGGAAAATGTTTCTGTCGAAAACTTTCGCCGAAATTCGAAATCTGTAAAGAATTTTGATGATTTTTTCGTCTAAAAATTTCGCTGGAAATGTGTTTCGTCGAAATTTTTGATGAATATATTTTTTTGTGAAATATTTTGATGAAATTTAGATTCCGTATAAAAATTTGACAAAAAAATATTCCGTCAAATTTTTTTACAAAAATGTTTTTAGTCACAAATTTTGATGAAAATATTTTTTGTCAAAAAATTTTGCGAAATCTTTTTATGGAAATATTTTTCGTAAAAAATTTTGACGTAATTTTTTTACGTTAAAACTTTTCTTTTAATGTAATTGTGTTTTTCTTTTTTTCACATAATGGGTATGGGTCAAGTTTTGGGTCAATGGGTAAATATTAAAATAAGTCAGGTTTAAAACTGACCTAAATAAAAGTGGGTCAGTATTTAAACAAGTTTAAAAAATATAGGTATTTATGGGTCAGGTCAAGGTCGGGTCAAGGGCAGGGCAAGTGAACCAATTTTTTTACACACCCCTAACTGATGGTTTAAAAGTCTCAATTAGAGACGTAGGAGGTGATCCCTTAAATGAGCTTTTAATGGCTCGCCCATGAAGCAATGCCAATCTAAAATACATACATATAAAAGGATGTATTATAAAATTGAAATTACATTAGTTAAAATAAAATATAATAAATTTATTTTAAAATTTTAATTATAAATTTAAAAAAATTAATTTTATTTGTTAGAATTAATTTTAGGCAAAAAAATTAATTTATTGCTTTTTAATAAAAAAATTACGAAAAAGTAATCGTTTTGAAATTA